AAGGAAGAGCTTCAGGGAAGTGTCAGAAGAGCTGCCATGCACACTCCTAGCTTTGCAGCTTGTGTGTGCCCAGCACTGCCTGGGAGGGATGTTCTTCGGGGAAGGGAGTAAGTAGTACAGTTTGGAGTTTAGGAAGAAAAATGCTTTTGAATAATCTGTAGATGAGCTAACTGCAAAACTTCAGTTTGTCTCTTAGCGAGACTCACTTTTTTGTGACTTACATGAAAATAATAACGGTTTATTTTTGTGTATGTGCAACCAGCATTTAAATAATTTTCTCTCATTAAGTACTTGCTTGTTTGCTGCAAGGCAGTGCTGGCTTGGAGTGTGGCTCCACTGCAGTTGGCCGTGTTTTGGTGTGTTCTTTCCTCTGTTCTTTCTTTCTTCCTTTTTGGAATTTACTTGGTTTCTTTCCTTTGACTAGCATAGCATATCGTCGTGTCATTCGTGTCTATCAGTATGAAGTTGGGGATGATCTATCTGGAAGGTTTTTTCCTCTTATTTTCTTACCTCATCACTTTGGTTTTCAAACGCACTCGTTAATTCCAAGGCTCGCTTTCCTTCCAACTAACTTTCACGGCTTAGAGATGCTTGGAGGTTTGTTTCCCTGTTGGTTCTTTCCACGGTTGGTTCCCAGCTTCCTGCTCAAGGCTCTGGGCGTGCGCTTCATCTCTAGGCAGGCGTTGAGTCTGAGCCTTAACCCTGTGGTGAGAAACACCCAGATGTTTGGTGTATTTTCATTGCTACAGAGTGATTCAGCACTTGAAATCCCCATTCTCAAGAAGCTCAAAAGCACATGGGAAGACAGAGTCCAGTGGGGATGAAAAAACCTGGTTTTAGTGACTGAAATACCAGCGATTCAGGTTTTAGGAACTTTAATACCCCAGAGTCAGAGGACACCCCACCTGCACAGCACCCAGACAGACTCACTGTCCATGTGTGGGTCATCCAGTGCGAGCTCTCACCGTACGTGTTGGAAGGACAGAGATTCCCAAACACGGCTGCTTAGATATTGCTTGGGATCTTGGGGTGGGGGAAAAGCAGCATCCAGAGACTGTCCATAGCTAGTCTGTACGAAGGAGATCTTGGAGCCCCTGGCCACTGTGGGGACCTGCATGTAAAGCTCAGGGTGGAAATCACTGGGCAGAGTGGCTGAACCTCAGCAGCTCTGGGTGCAGCATGGAGAGGTGGGGTGGGAAAGGCACCTTTCCACCAGGCACTGCTGAGCAGCAGAGGTCTGTAGCTCTCTGCAAGGATTATGCCACATTAAGACTACTTTCCAACCAAACCAGTAGTTCTCACCATCTTTTTTTTACCCTCATTTTACCCTTTGTAACACCCCTTTGTAGAGCTCCTGTACCTGACTGCAAATACAGCCCATCCCCAGTGACTCACCTGCAGTTGGTGTGTGTGGTGTGTGCTGGGCACGGGGCAGGGGGGTGGGACTGCACTAAATTCTAATTCCATGAGGTCCAGTAAAGCGGGTGCTTTGAGTCTGGCATGAAGTGTGGCTGCTGATCACATTGCCTTTCAAATGGGGCTAGAAATTAACTATATACAGAAATAAGAATCAGACAAAATGTACTGTGTCAGTCTGAAATAGGATGAGTCAGAATAAACAAACCACAAAACTAGTGATTAAATATCTGAAAGGATTTTTCATTTCAAGGAAGGACTGTTAATTTCAAGCCCCACGTGCCATTTTTTTATGAGATAAGTGCCTTCTCTCACTGTTGTTCTGTGTTTAGGTCATGTATGGTGGAAGAATCGGGAACTCTGGAGTCACAGCTGGAAGCTACTAAAGTAAGTGATGTGCACCCATGTCTAAAACATATTTTCCAGCTGGCTTGGGAACACAGGGCGGGAAGGGAAATGCATGCAATTGTGTGGGAAAATCTTAATTGATTTTAGACATTCAGAATACTGAAGAGACCTCTGGGATTATCTGTTTACATATCTGATGTCTACTTACATCGCAGGCCATTAAACAACACTGATGTAGTTTTCCTTTTTTTTTTCCTTTTTCCTAAAGGGGCTGGGGTAGGGCAGAGAGGATACAGTGTTTTCAGCACATTTCCTAATAAGAGGTTTTTTAGTCTCCAGAAGTGGTTTGCAAACCCTGGTTGATAGTGAGCATGAAGATGAACATTCCTCTGAATCTTATTTCACAAATCCTAGTATATGGACATAAAATTCTAGGAGTAAAAGAGTATAACCCTTCCTCCCCTGCCAGCCTCTGGTTTGGTAGGGTATTTTGTTGTTGTTTTTTGGGTGGTATTGTTTTTGGTTTTTGGTGCTCCATGATTTCTCTCCTCTTTGCTCCCTTTTCACAGCGCAAGCACCAAGAGATCCGAGCTATGAGGAGCCAGCTGAAGAAGATTGAGGACCTTGGAGCAGCCATGGAAGAGGCACTTATCTTGGACAACAAATACACAGAACACAGCACTGTGGGGCTGGCACAGCAGTGGGACCAGCTGGACCAGCTGGGAATGAGGATGCAGCACAACCTGGAACAGCAGATCCAAGCTCGGTACTGCCTGGTCCACGTGTGGTTTGAAGTGTCTGACTGGGGGTGGGGGGAAAGACAGGAGCCACAGCTGCCCACGCCTGCAGCCAGGTCTGTGCTAAGGAGTCTCCTGTGCTCAGACCAATGGATGTAGTGAGCTTGTACATCCCCACCACCTCCCAGTTCCCTTCTGAGAGATGAAGTGAGCAGTTCTGGAGTAGCTCCTGTTGGCCATGAGCAAGGGCAGGATCTTAGTGGAACAGTTTTATTCTGTGGAATAAGTGTGTACAAGCGTTCCCACATGGAATGGTTGTTTGCTCCTTTGTCCTCACTGTGTGGTGCAACTGCTGGGCTCGGAGTAGCACAGCTCAGGAACTGCTCATCAGCTTTGCTGCTTCCCTTTCAGGAACACCACTGGAGTCACTGAGGAGGCCCTGAAGGAGTTCAGCATGATGTTCAAGTGAGTTGCAAGGAACACATGCCAGAGGAAGGCTTGGGAGATATTTCTGGCACATGCATCCTGTTTGTAGGATCCATTCTTGGCTCCTTTGTTGTCTGCCCCACTTTGTGCTGAGCTGCTCCATTATCTGTCAGAGGGCAACAGCCCCCAACTCCTGCTGCTGGCAGTGCCAATTCCAGCTGGGAATACAAATAGGAGTTTTTGGTGGGAGAGGGTTGCTTTTAAAGCAAAGTTAAGAATTTGTGCATATTTTTCATGTATGCTAGATTAAACTATTTATTGATACAAACTCATTTGTCCAGAATAGGGCCTTGATCTAGTTTTCAGCCCACTTTACAGCTTTCAGGACTCAGTAACTGACACACATGGGTTCTGGTTTTATGTTTTTAGGCACTTTGACAAGGACAAATCTGGACGACTTAATCACCAGGAGTTTAAGTCTTGCTTGCGCTCTCTTGGCTATGATCTGCCCATGGTTGAGGAAGGAGAGCCAGACCCTGAGTTTGAGTCTATTCTTGACACTGTAGATCCCAACAGGTATGTGAGTTGGACCTTTCTGTACTGCAAAATACATGGAGGTACTGGCTGGGGAGTTAGCTGGAAGGTCCGTCAAAGGCTGAGAGCTGTGGTTGTTTTTACAATGACTCATGTGAAAGCCTTTGGGGAAGGTAAGACTGATGCTTGTAAAGAAGAAATTCACTTTCAGAAAATGATCTGGTGTGAGTCTCCTGCGTTAAAACTTCCAGTCCTTCCAGAACAGTTCCAGCCCCTCTCTGGAGGGTCTGGAAGTGCTCTGCTCTGGTGCTCACACTGTGTTTTGCTGGCAGGGATGGACATGTCTCACTGCAGGAGTACATGGCCTTCATGATCAGCCGGGAAACAGAGAATGTGAAATCCAGTGAGGAGATCGAGAGCGCTTTCCGTGCCCTCAGCTCCGAGGGGAAGCCCTACGTGACCAAGGAGGAGCTCTACCAGGTAAGTGCTGGTTGTCAACCCCCAGGGAGGAACACACAAAACTTTTGTTCATAGATAAAGCCCAGCACTAATGGCTTAGAGGGTCATGTCACTGGGCCTGAGTCAGTTCTGACCCTGCCAGGAAATCCCCTGCAGTAAACACAGAAATTGCCGTGACAATCCTGCGCAGTTGCTTTCTTGGCTCTACAGAGGAAGAGGAAAAGCTTTACATACCAATGAACTGCTCAGGTTGAATAAAACAAGAGCTACTCAAAGGCCTGGAAGGGAGGACACTGTCCTCAGAACTTCCAATTTTTGGGAAACTAGATGGAGGATGTTTCTCCAGACAGCAATTCAAAGGAAAAGCTTGAGCCTAAGTTTAGACAGTATGAACATCTCCTCCCTCTCACTGCCCTGCCAAGACAGCAAGTTTTTCCTGTCTGAATACCACCAGCTGGCAGGAAAATAAAGAGTTTGTAGTGCTTCCTTGTCCCAGTTACCTGTTCTGTCTTCTATTCAGTGGGAAGACTCCGGTCAGGCCTTCCAACCCTTAACCAAGGAGTGCCAACAGCCAGAGCATTTCCATGCTGGGCGTAGTTGTGCTGCTCTGGTTTCTGCCCCGGGGAATGGGAGAGCTGCCTGTCAATGCCCCCTGGCAGCCCCAGAGCCCTCTCACCCCCAAGCTGTGTCTCTTTCAGAACCTGACCCGGGAACAGGCCGATTATTGCATCTCTCACATGAAACCCTACATGGATGGCAAGGGAAGGGAACTGCCTTCTGCCTACGACTACATAGAATTTACACGTTCACTCTTTGTGAATTGATCTGGAACACTAGTACCAAAAGATGCAAAGGACATGCTCACGTTTGCTGACTGTAGCTCTGCATGTGTCTCTCTCTCTTTGTGCTCTACAATAATCAATGTTACTTTATGATGTAACCTTAAAGTGCTTAGCTTAAAACTCTTAGGGAAAAGAAACATGTTGCAGTGTGCTTCAATAAAAGTTACTGGTCGAACCACATCATCTTGTGTTTAATGGTTAAATGCAAATTTAACTGTTAGGAGGAGGCAACTCCAGCTGTTGGTTACCTGTATTTTCCAGGCCAACACTGGAACAGGTGAGTGGGGAACTGTTCCTGGAGTCAGGGCAGTTAAAAGCTTCACACAGCTGTTGTGCTGCTTCCTCAGTCCATGAGCTCACTTGCCAGCTGCTCCAGGTGACTTGTTTCCCTTGGTCCCTGCTCGGTGAAGTCAGAGCTCAGCTGCCAGACTTTGACTGTCCCAGAAGCATCCCCTGCTGCCAGGAGCTGTGTGTGCTTGGTGTTGAATTCCAGACAATACACAGGGCAGTCATTCATGGACTGCTTCAGGGACACTGTGGGCTTCTGCATGCTCCTCGCTAGGTCAAACAGGTGCACCTCTCCTGCAGACACAGACACTCATTGCAGCTTCATGGCAACAGACATCCTATCTAACAGCAGGCGAGTATCTGCTTTGTCTGGCACTGAGAGTTATTTTTAACCTGTTTCCCCTGCTGATGGGTGTCTAGGCTGTGACAGACAGCTGACATTACTGCAGGCAGCATGGATTTGTTCTGCTGTCAGAAACCTGAAACTAGCTTGCCAAATTCTGTGAAATCTCCATTCTTTAACTCAAAACTGTTTGGGCAATTTTCTAAGGAAAAAGTTTTCAGTTTGAACCATTAGTTCTGGAAGTAGATGTCAAAAACAAGCTGGAAATAGATTTCGCCACAGTGATCTTGCTGTGCTGTATTCCTGTGAATGACTGTGGCAACAGATTTAAAAGTACCATCAGAAGTGAGAAATAACTTTGCTGGTTCACCTTGCTAAAGTTAGAAATTACTTCTTTGTATAATTACACAGTACAAACAATGGCCACTGCTCTGTGCTTGTGGAATCTGCTAATCAGTACAATCGACTTGACTAATTAATACCCAGCACACTCTTAATTTTATGCTTAAGAGGAGACACCTGCAGTTACTTGCCTTCCCCAGATGCAGCTGCAAAGACCAGTGGTCGAACTGGAGACCAGCATACACAGAACAGGTATTTCTTTGATAACTGTAGAGCAAAGAGGGGCTGTGTCTGCAACATGGAGTGCAAGTGAATTTGTCCATCGGTCCCACAGCTCAGAAAGAGGTTCCTGGGGGAGGGAGGAAGCAAGAAACAGCTCTTATTGTTTTACTGCTAACGATAAAGAACAAAAATCAGTCAAGGAGCATGACCTCGGACAATATTCCTGCTTTGTAAAGGTCTGTGTTTCCTAAAGCAGCAATTGCCAGGCTCTGCTGTGGGCTGTAGAGATGCAGCTTTGTTACTGCCCTCAATTAAGCTTAATGAGGGCTTGTATTGACCACTGATGGGTTGTGGGCCAGGGCTGCCTGAGAACTGCTGATCTAGAGCTGAGCATTGTTCGAGCTGGGCTTGTCTCATGCAAATTAAATGCAAACCTGGGCTGTCAGCATGTTTCACAGAAGCAGGGCTTGGGGCCTCCACGGATGGTGGGTGAATTGCTGGCAGAGATGGGAGCTTCTCATTTAAATTATGGCAGCTACTGATGTCAGAAAAATCTTCAGTAAGATATTTAGTGATCTGCCTAAGTGAAGGGCTTTCTCAGCTCCTTGGCTTTAAACTGAGTTTTAATTGAAACAGCTAGGATTATCTAAAGAATGGTGCTTCTGTGCCCACATGCCTCATAGTCCAGTAGGCACCTTCACCAGAGCCAGTGCACGTTGTTTCTCCTACAACGGGACATTCCTAATGCCAGTTGGCCCTTTTTCTGGAACTTGTACACAATCCCAGGGGCTATTTGAAAAATCTGGTTTTAGAGCCTGGCAGTGATAGCGTCCCACATGCAGCACTTGCCTGTGGAAGGGTGAGCAGCTCACGGAGTACACGGGCCCAGCATGCGGGGAGAAGGCGAGTTCTGCCGGTGCCCTGAGGGGAACGGAGCCAGCTGGCTGCGGGAGAGCCGCTGGAGTCTGGGCCATGGTGGAGCACCTCAGGGAATACCCACCTTCCACACCCACAATGAACACACCGGGATCCAAGTGTGAGAAGGACAGCGAGGTCACCCCCACGGCTGCCTCTCCCCAGGCCACCTGGGGAAAGAGAGACAGAGCTGGTGTGAGCTGGGGCTCCAGAGAGAGGCACAGGCAGACAGAGCCTGCTGGGGACCCAGCGGGCTGTTCACAGCACAGCTTGTGACAGCTCTGTGTATGTGGCACTGAATCCTTCCTACAACGGGGTTCACATGAATTAACATTACAAGTTCTCCATCCCAGCAACTTCTCTTTAGAGCAATGCAAAACCTCAGCTGTTGTCAGTCTTCCAAGAATGATTTCCATGTGGCAAAGGAGCTGTGGCTCAAGGGTGTGTGTGTTCAGAAGGGGCTTTTCCTGGCCCTTCTTGGAGCTCCAAAGTTCAGAGTGTTTTTGTGGAAAGGGCACTCTCTGAGCTGCTGAACTCACCTTCTTTAGTCGAGTGCTGCGAGGGATCTGCTGAGCCACGATGGCAAATCCTTCAGCCAAGGCCAGCCACCCATCCCGCTCCTCCCTCCACACGAGGATCTTCCCATCTGTCGCCACACTCAACAGCCGGGCGTGGTTTCTGTGCTTGGTGTCAGGTAACCAGTTAACCTGTTCCAAATGCCAGGAGCTCAGGACAACGGGGACTGTCACAACGACCCAGCCCATGCAGCCTGGAGCGACTGGATCTACCCAGACACAGGAGCAGAGCCAGGCACCAGCCTGATACCAAACAAGCTTCTGCTGGGAGCTGGTACAGACACAGATGCAACAAGAGAAACACATCCAGTGTTTTAGGGCTGCATCTCCATTGCAGTTTTTATGGTTCACCTGCTCTCAATTTTGGGATGGGTATTTATGGCACTTTCACCCAACTCCAAACAATAGCATTTTCCTGAGGAGCATATGAGAAAAATACACAGAATGTCCAGAGTCACAAGGCCCCAGAAGGGCAAAATCGTTAGGAAGCCAGGCTGCATGACATGCTCATAAAAGCCCTTAAAGCATGTGGCTTTAAGCTTCCAAGGATCAGTTTCCCATTTGTGTTTTTAAACCACTCCAAGTATCATTGGCTGCATCTCCCATAATAAATGATTACAGTTTGGGAATAGGTCTGCTCTTCATTTATCCTGGACAGTGAGAAGTCATTTTTTACAGGCTAAGTGCCTGTTCAGGAGCTAGATTTGGGGGGAAATAGCCAACCAAAAAAGAATATTAACTGCTGACATGTCTGTGAACTGCCTAGCTGTGTGTGGATGGGGACCAAAGGGATGACACAGAGCAGTGGCAACTCTCACCTGCCCCAGCCCTGCTTGCTGTCAATGTTCTCTGTTACCTGATAGACTGGGTCAGTGTGGGTGTCCTCTGTCATCCCTGTCCTCCAAATCACAGGGTCTTCTGTCCTGCTGGTGTCCCACACTACCAGCTCCCCACTGAATAGGCCACCTGAAAAGACAAATATAAAACATCTAAGGTCTGACAGCTCAGAACAAATGCACAAATGGAGCAATGGTGGAAACAGACCCACCAGCTTCAAAGGCTGGGCAGTTCTGTGCAGGACACAGCCAGTTCTGGTGTAAGAGAATATTGCTCTGCTGAAATAAGTTTATTCCCTTGCAGCCAGGGCTGGATTTCCTTCTGTCACTTCTGAAAAGGGGATATAAAGGCAGGTGTCACTAAAGAGGCAGCAAGAGTCCCAGTTCAGATGCAACAGTGCACTTATTTGTGTTGGTGGGTGTTAGTTTGTCGGTTTAAGGAGCTGCAACACTGTTCCTTTACAGGAAATCTGAGGCTGAACTCAGAGAGAGAAACCAAAGGATCCAGGCTGCAGGAAAAAAGGGTATGTTTCAAGTATATCTGAGGTAAGAACAACACACCAGCTATCAGTGATGGCTGGGAGGGATGGAAAGCCAGGCACATGACAGAACTGGGAACATCCACCACCAGGTCAGGGTGCTGTGAATTCAACCCTCTTCTGTCCAGATTCCAGGTGCAAACATAGGATTTTTCTGTGCTCCAGTCCCCATCATCCAACCTGAAAAACAAAAAGCTACATCTTGCTTTGTGTGTTCCAGAGGATTCCAATCCAGCAGAGCTCTGAGATTCCCCACTGGTCACCTCAAAGTGCTGCTTTGTGTCCTACCATGAAGGATTCATGAGGGGATGGAACTTCTCTGTGGGCTGGTTTATACAAGATGTGACAGGGCACATGTCTGTGCTTACAACAAAGTGGCAGCCAGTAAATTTTGGGTACAATTTCCCTATTCCAAAACCTACTCACCATTCAAATAATGGGACCAATCAAAAGGGTGCATATGGAAAGTTTATGGGAGGAATTCTGCTGAGGGTACCCACAGACACAGAAACCACATCCTCATCTGCAAACAGTTGTAGACTGGGAGAGCAGAAGGAGCAACTAACATACAGGTTTGCCCTGTTTTACTCTTCCCTATACACTCTCTCGCAGACACCCTTTTTGCTGGGGCTTTTAATCTAAGGAAAGGGGAGCATTAAAAAAAAAATAGGGCAGCAGTAGGGCCAAGAAAGAGGGGGCTGCTAATGACATTAATGGATTAGATAAATGATTTGTGAAACCCTTATTTCAGAAATCCTTAAACATGTGTTGTTACATGTCCATGGCACCAGGCACATGTGTGAACAGGTGCCAGGTTCATCCAGGGTGCTCAGAGACCACATTAAACATCATGATCTCAGTGAAGATAAAGTGCATTCTCCCAAATCTCACTTACAGATATTTGCAAGTGCATCTGCTCTTTACATTTTTCAGAAACAGAATCTACCTAGAAACAAATCAGTAAGATCATGTATCCATTTTCAGGGTGGGCAGAAGGTAAAAGAAATAAAAGATGTAATTCCGTACTTGGCTGAGATTTTGTTACTTTGAAGATTAATTATTCAAATTGCATAAGGAGTGGATATAGACATAAATATAGATATAGATATGTCAGCCTATTACTGCAGAGAAAGTAAACATATGTAGACCTCAGGCCAGCCTGAGACATCACATCAGCCTCAGCTGCACTCCCAAATCCATCTGGATACTCACCGGCCATAGGAACATGCAATGACAGATCCCGTGGCATTCCATGAAACACTGGTGACCTGCAGGTTTTGATCCTGAGCCTCTGGGTATGACAATGTATGCAAACACAACACCTGGAAGAGGTCAAATCCAAGCACTGAGACGACAATCTCTGAACAGAGAGAAATGAGGTTTGTGCCCACCCCTGATGTGATTGTGTGGTTACAGTGTGAGTTTTCCTCAGTTCAAGAATTTATGTGAAAAGGTTGTTGAATCCCTGTTGGGAAACAAACCCACAACGCAACAGTCACTCAAACACAACCTCTCAGAGAGTGCACAGCTCTGGAAGGCTGTGCCTAAGAATTTATAGCGCCTGCCAGGTGTGAGTTTGGCACTTGCTGAGCTCCACAAGTAACAGTTTGAAAATGCCAGTCCCAACATGTACTGTCTGATACAAATTGCTTCCATTCCTGAGCACCATGCACTAAATAAACATAATATAAGCAGGCAGAGCTGCCAACTCACTGACTGCAACTGTTCCTAGATTCCTGCTAGGCTGGAGTGCTCTGAAGAGGCTGAAGAAAAGCCTACACCAACTGCAGGCTTCCTCGTCTCGCTGCTGCTACAGCTCAGTTACCAGCAGGAAGAGCAGTTTTACCAAGCAAGCAGAAAGCTGAAAAAAAGCCCCAAGGCAACCCAACTGGTAATGTTTAATTATTAGAATTATTATTGGAATTATTTATTATTAGAATATTATATTATTGGCAAGAACAATCACAGCAATAAGGACTAGAACTAACAACTTAGAGTAACTGTAACCAACTCTGCTTGGACAATGACCTGAAGCCTATCACTTACTGTTTCATCCTGATCTGTCCAGTTCACTTCAAAGCCATCAAAGGCATGACTTTTCCAGTTTTTATTTAGCTCTTTGATAACAGTGTCCTCCACTCTCTGAAGGAATGACAGAAGCCTGGTGTAATCTACTTGGACTTCTTGCTGGAAGTCTTGGAAAGCATCTTTGCTCTGTTCTGTCTGCACCGCAGCATCTCGGGCTGTATGAGATTGTGCTGCAGCTTCTGCTGTTGAAATTTTCCCAGTCTGGCAAGTTTTCTATTAAAAGAAGACAGGCAGTCTATAATCCAAGCAGAAAAACAAGTGTTGCACAACGCATTCAAAGCACTTTCCCCTTCCTGCCGTCTCACGGAGACATTCCAGCTCCTCTGCACAGCTCTGGGTCATGGTTAAACACAGGGTACCTCCGTACCTGCCCAGCTCTTGGTGATGCGTTTGTGACCTTCCCAAAATCTGACCGGAGACAGAGATGCCCGAATGCCAGTCAGATTCATGCAGTGCTCTAAAGCACGGAATGGGAAGGACGGGAGAAGGCAAGAAGGTAGCGAGCTCCAGAGTAACGCAGAGCGAGCAGCACACACGGTGACAGCGCAGCATTAGCAGCTCTCAAACTGCGGGGCGGCAGCCGCTCGGGCGGTTCTTTGCCAATTCGCACACAGGGGCTCAATCAGCAAAAGGCTGACGGGACAGAGCCGGGACAGACACAGGCCCGGCCGCCCCGGCCCCCGCACTGTGCCAACAGCGACCTGAGCTGGAGCTCTCGGGCCCGGCCCCGCCGGAGCCGCGGGGGTGTCACGGACGAACAGGATGGGGACAAGTCGGGGCACGATCCCAGAAGGTCCGGGGAAGGCGCAGGCCTGACAGCCGCCCACTGCCCGGCCCGCTGGTACAAGAGCGCGGAGCGGGGCGGCCCCGGGGGTCTCTCACCGCCTCGCAGCGCGCGCTCCGGGCGCTCCTCCACAGCGATTGCACGTCGGCACCGGGTGCCGTCCTGTCCGCGAACATGCCGGGGCCGGGGAGGGCCCGGCGGTGCAGGGGGGATCGGGGGTCGCTCCCGGCGGTCACGGCCCGTGGCGCTCCCACGGCCCGCGCCTCCGGTTCTCATGGAAACGGGCGCGCGGTGACGCCACCCGAGCGACGAGCCCGCCGGGCCGCGAGCGGTAAACTGAGGCGGGCGCGGCCATGTTGGGGAAGGGCGTGGAGCGCCGGTGCTGGGCGGGCGGTGGCTCCGTGCGGGAGAAGGGTGCGGTCTATCCCCGCACCTTGGCTGGAGCCATGGGGCCGGCGGAGGCTTCTTCTTCCCCTTCGGGCGCTCCCGCCGTAGCTGCGCTGGGGCCCGGCTGGTCCCGCCGCGCCGCCGGGGGCACGAGTGGCAGCGCGGGCGAAGGGCGCGGGGTTCCAGGAGTTAAGATGGCGGCGGGGAGGGGGCGACAAAGCGGAGTGCGGGGGAGCGGGGGGGCTGGGCCGCCTTGTGAGGGAAGCTCTAGTTGGCTATGACCGTGTGTTTGCCCAGAAATGGGGCCGGCTCAATGTACACCTAGTGCCCGGGGTGTGCTCTGCCTGGCTGCTTTGCTCTCTAGTGGTTTTGAGGGGGGAATTACCGTGCGGCCGGGCTGGCTGCACGCCCGCGGGGCGGCTCTCCGGGAGCCGCCCCGGTACCGGGGTGACAGCCCCTGCACCTGGATAACCTGTGCTGTTCCTGTCCGCAGGGACACTGAATGTAGCTTCTGTAAGTGATTATTCCTAACAGGTATGACTCTGCTTGGAGATTTTTTCTAACTAACTCAGTGGAACAACTTGATGATGAATGCACAGGCTAAATTTAGTGCTGGCAGAAGCAGGCACAGATGCACCAACTTCAGTGGAGTTATTCCGGCTGTTGCTGGGAAGGAGTCTGGCCTGTTTGTAGACGTCAAGCTTGCAGGATAGAGTAGGAGCTCAGCAGAGTGGTCGTAGTGCTTTCACCTCTTGAGCACTTGCAAGTTCATTTGTATCACAGCTGAGTGCAATGGTTCTTCTGAGGAATTTAAAGTACTACACAATTAATAGTGAAGTAAGAATCCCTAAATGCCTGGTAAAGAACTCATATAGCCGTTTTACAGACAGTGAAACTGGAGCAGAAAGAGGTTCAGTGGCACCTCCCTCAAAAGCAAAAAGTCTCAATGGAACTAAATCCTCTGGAATTTCAAATCCTGGCTGGGTACCTGCTGTGATTTCTCCCCTGGCTGGTGTGGCCCATCACAATACCTCATAGAGGAGCCAAGAACATAAAAACATAAACACTCTTGAGCTGGACTGATGGCCCTTTTAGCCCTGTCATCTCTCTCTGATTAGCACAGGAGTTAATCTGAATTTCTGAAGTTCAAGCTTGGCATCTCCAGCAGCAGCTGGAGCACAAGCAGTGGCAGTCAGAGACTGCCTGGATGTAACTGAGCAATTTCCCAGTCCACTTCTCCTGCAGGCAAGCTCCTTGCTCTGGGCCAGTGCATGGGGCAGCTTTTCATGTGTTGAAAAACTGATACTAAATATTTGAACCCAATAGCACAGTGGTTTTCTTAAGAGGGTCTTAATATTTAAGATTCATCCTCTATAAATAGATCATCTTCAGTCATCATTAAATTATCTTTAATTGGTATGATTACAACTGCCAAGGCATATTACTCTTTAGTAGAGGAGTAAATATAATGAGTGTGAATTAATATACAGGCTGCATCATCATAAAAATGCTAAGCACAAACTGCAATTTAAAAACTTTTTGTCAGGGGGGACTTAAGAAGAAATGTTTGTGGGTTTTTGAGATGGCAAAGAGATAAGAAAACTGGAATTTAAGTATGTGAAACAGACTGAAATAAATCAATTTTTTTTAGCCAGTAGTATGCAAAGTTGCTGCAAATGTTGAACATGTTCCCTGTATTGTGGTGCATGTCTGGGCTTTTTCTTCCCTGAGGATGAGAAAGGAGCAAACAGCTCCAGACAAGGACTGTTCTAAGTAACTGCACTTTGATCCTTTATTCCAATTTCTCTGATTTGCTGGGGTTTCAATATATCAAAGGTATTTCAAGAAATCTTACGTTGTTTTTAAGTTTTTTTGGATTTTTTTTTCCTGGCTTGGCAGTATCAGATATATGGATGTTTTTGTCTTCTTATCATCAGAAATAAGACAAAATCGGCGATGAGTGGGGGAGGGCTGTTATTTGCCTGAGGCTACCCAGTCACTCTAAAGTGGCTGCTTTTACAGGGCTCATCTGTGCTTTTGCCTCCCTGTTTCAGGAGACAAAGTGTAGGAAGTTTTCACTTTCACATAATGGAGTAAATCAGCATCAGAAAACAAGAGAAGATTGAGGTGAAGAGAAAACAAAAACAAAAGCGAAGGGAAAAGCATCAGAAAAAAAGAGTGAGCTGTAACAAGAAGCTGCACGCCAGCGTGTGATCGCTGTGACCTGAGCGAGAGAAATGCTCGGAACTGCATCTCAGTAAAAATCCTCCCACTAGTGGGTGCAGTCGCTGCCCTCGATTTGCGATAAATGCAGCTATTCAGTTCCGTTGAGGCTCCAGAGAGGCGAAACAGCAGATTGTACCCGAAAATGGAGAGACATAACTGAGCCTTCTCCTTTTACACCTTCCCGTCCATTCCTTTCACCCCAAACAGATGCATGTAAAGATGAATAAAACAACATGCACCAATCAATCCGGCCATGAGAAAGAGTTCTTGGGCTTAGTCTGGCAGGGAGTGGCTTGTCAGGGGATCGAAGGTATTGCCTTTGGCGATTGATGACTGTTCAGAGGAACAGAACTTTACAGATGTTCTCGTTTATTCAAAGCAAACCACAGCCAACAAACAAAACTCTTCAACCAACAGCAAGGGTTTGTTTCAAAGAATTGTCACTGCAGAACCTACTTGTTTCTCGAGCTTCTACAACCAGCAAGACCTAATTCTGTTCCCTAATTGTTCCAGTCCTACGTGTGCACTGCTGAACAGCCCGAGGTGACAGATGTGGTCTGGCTGAGGCCTGGGCACTGAACCCTTTATTGCCTTTGCATTAACCAAAGGATGTAATCTGGAGTTTGAAGTGGCTTTATGATGACATTTTGTGCTTGTTATTTGAGTACGGACAATATCTGATCAGTTACTCATATGTTTCTTTTTTGTTAGAAATTAATTATTTTAAAATTCACCAAACCTTGAGGGAAGTGAGGTCCCCACAACTGGCAGTGTTGAGCCCATGCCCATGTACCCCACCAGGTGCTCAATAGCTTGATGAGGGTTCAGGTCCTCGTGTGGACGCTGTGTGTTACCCCAAGCTGTGTGAATCCCCCACCTATTTCTTTTCCATTGCCATCTATAATGGACTCATGCATTTTCTCTAATTTGTGACCTCCTTTTCCCTGTCCCCCCTCTCAAATGTCCCTGCAAATGTTGTGCCCTTTTTGCTTTGAAAACCTATTTTTCTGTCTTAGCAGATGTCAGCTTGCTTCTGAAGTCCTGGTACACCAAAAGACATGATACATTATCAAAATAATCCATCTCCATTAAAATCATTATCTACTATGCTTTGCAGAATTAGTCGGGGGTTTGTTATAAATATGGGTTATATAATATAAATATAATATGTTATAAATATTTGTAAATAAATATGCAGTTTCTTGCCCTGTACAGGTATTGTTCATCCCCTATTCATTCCTTCATGATTAATAATAAGACAAAGATTTTAGTCAAGTGTAACCAGACCAGGAAGGAGCAGGGGGGAAGCTCTGTGGCAGGTGGCAGCAAGTTACCGCCACAGGGGCACAAAGGCACTGCCGGCAGGGTTGGAATGGCAAGCAGAGCTGGCACAGGGCCGAATGCCATGGATTGTCCAAAGAGGCATCTGTGTAAGGCTCAGGATCCTGAATCCTGGCTGCCATGGTGCTCTGAACTCAGTGGCAGCTGGGAGTCTCTGCCTTGGGCAGGGGATTGCTGCTGTCAACAAGGTGACTGGCAGTGTCTCTCTCCTTTTGGTCTCAGCAGCCTCTAGTTCCTGCTGAGTTCGTAGCAGCATCTCATCTCAGAAATAAAACTACAATCTGCTGTGCCACTCCTCAAAGGTACCTGACCCTTTGCAGTGCTGACAGCATGAAAGGAAACAGAGATCCCTTAAATTAATCCCATATTCAGTAACCATGCATGACTAAAAATTAGTTATCTGTTCTGTATATCACTTCATCAACTCATATTGTGTCTGTAGTATCTCAAACGATTGTTGGAATTTTAACTGCTATGTTCAAAGGCAGTGGCTATATTAGAAAGCAATGTGGACAGATATTAATCCTCTAAACAGAACTGGGTCTCCTTAGCAAAAGTGTGGTTTCAAAAAATGACATTCAGAAATAAATTGTTACATTCTACTTGGTACCATCAGATTTGTGCTTGTGTAAAGCAAGCAAGCAGAATTCGCAGGACAGTTCTGGGTTGCTCTTCAGAAATGTCTGTATTTATTTAATTTCAAGCATGCCGCTTTAATTTCTAAAACATTTCTATGAACACTGAATGTTCAATAAATACATCTTAGTTTTACTGGGGTATGGATATAGAATTTAAGAGTGGAGAAAAAAATTATGTTCCTACCATGTTAGCTAATGCAGCAGAAAAGACACATTTGCAAGGACTGTTTTTATTGATATAAATTTTACCTCCATTTAGAGAGTTTGCATATTGCCAGGTTAGCTAGACCAGCAAAAGCACTTACTGTGAAAGCCACTTCTTAAATGGCAAATATCCCATTTGATTTTTTTTCACCCCAAGTATAAGAGAGATTACAAAGAACCCTGGAACGTATTATACAAGCACAGAGAGATAACTTTATAAACTTATGCACTGCAGAAAGATTATCACCTTCTCAAAAGCACATGGAAGATGAAGGGAAGCAGAGTATCTTGTATAGACAAATTGGATATGTCAGTGTGAGTGTTCTAACTGCTCACAGAAAATGCCAAGTGATTTGTAATGATCACTTTCTTTTTATCACCTCCCTTTATCTTGTAGCAGAGTGACAGTCTGGTACTGAGAAATAACAGAATGAAACACACCCATACAGCCCG